TTTGCGAACACGGGCGCATCATCAGCCACCCATGACGCCTCACTGGCAGGGCCAGCCACCACCCCGGGCTCAGCCACGAATGGCTCAGGCGCCTGCATCCCCGAAGGGAAGGACGCCACCGTGGGCAGCCGCACCGTAGCCACCTTCTCTTCTTCAGCCACCCCCCCGCTGGGAGGTGGCGTCATGTCCCCTGGCCCGCCGAACGGAGGGGAGGGCGAACGCCTAGCCGCAACCAAGGCCGCACGCTCCCGTTCCGACAAGTGGAGTCGACGAGACAGTACCGAGACGTGGTGGCGAAGGCGGGAGACCTCCTTCCGAAGAAGAGAAGCCTCATCGACCGACGCCAAGAGGGAAGACAAGGCCGCAGCGACCTTGCCCGCCGAAAGGGAAGAACCTCGCTTAGACATCGAAGCGACCGACCCAAGCGAACGAACGACGGAAACGAGGAACCTAAAGGCAACAAACGTAAGGACAAAGCCTTACGAGGTTAATAAATGTAAGCGAAGGTAAAGATTTCTTCACGAACAAGACCTGAAGTTATCGCGAGATAAAGTCAGGGACGACGTGGAGTTTAGGTAGATCCTTGGAATGTAAGAAAAGGTGTCCGAATTCAATCTAAGTTTATTTATCCTAGTCGCGCCAAAACATGGCTTATGATCTAGCTAACATCCCTCATAACCCATAAATCATAACAAAATCACTACCACGGCAGACCGTCTCGCAACCCTCCAACCAAACATAAATCCAAAAATCACTACCAACAGGCTCACAGGCGCTCGTGCCGCAAGCGACACCCCGGATTAACGCGTCTTCCTGTCTCGCAAATCCTATCCTTCACCAACACCGCCATCAGCAATTTCAGTCTCCACATACTCAACAAAGGAAAGATACAATCTATCCCAACACCTTGTCGTGTTCCTCCAATGACCCGAAATATCAACAAACGTGCCATCACAGAAACAACAGCGGGGTCCCTTAACAAACTCATAACTCCTAGTCCAAGCCAACACACCAGACACCTGTTCGCCGAATTCTATGTTCCCCCATCTTCCAAAAGCCCGAACCCAGTACAAACTCATGCAGCGATCCAGACATGGCGGGGAGTTGGCGAAGTGCCGGACGAAGGCCTCTCGTCGCGAGCGGGGCCCTAAAGCACTGGTGACAGCGTTATCGCAACCACGGGAAACTGTGTCGTCCTCGGGAATAAAGAACCACTTATTGCCCCCGATCCTCGCAGTAGGCAACCGGCAGTAACCGCATTTGTGTGTCGTGGAACATCTAACACATTCCCACCCGTTATCCTTGACGATCAGCTGCCCGTCTCGTTCTACCAGGAGCGTCCCGTCAAATGGATTCCCAGCGACCACCAATTCACCATCCACTTCAACGACACTCTTCGGGATTTCCAATCCCAACCATCGGTGCCCCCTCCACCATTCCTGCCACTCTTTGACTTTCCCATCTTTAAACAGCATATCTGCCGAGGGTCGGTCCCGAAGGTAGCGCACAGTCCTGATCCAATGATCCCGATCGTTGCGGCCAGGGCAGTCATCATGCCCTACCAGTCCAGTGCCACTTCGTACCCGTATTAGGACATACACATCTAGTCTGGTAAGCCCTCTCAGGTGTCGCGGCGCGGTGGGTGCCCGTTCGTAGTAGCC